GTGTGTGTGTGTGTGTGTGTGTGATCCTGAGTGTTGTTAGACGAGCATGTTGGAATAGTTTAGATCATCAAGCTCTCCTTCTCTCCTTCTCTCCTTCTATCCTTCTCTCCTCTCTCCTCTCTCCTTCTCTCCTTTTTATTACAAACAGCATCTTAACACTAGAATCACCCTGAGGACGAACAGTCCTTTATTTGATCAGCTGAGGTTTGAACTAGTTTTAAAGGATTTAATCTTGAGATCTTATCATTGACATGTTGTCTGTGTGTCCCTCCTGAGCCTCCGTACACACTGAATGTGTGGTAGCTCTAATAATCCACCTTTGTCCTCAGACGTTATTAAAGGGAGACGCTGTCGTCCTCACATCTGCTTTGTTCCCTCATAGTTTATAGAGTCAGAGACAGAAAAAGACGGAGACGTTTTCCTCCTCCAGTCAACCTGAAATGTTTTTGTGTCTCACATGTGTCATCGCCTTCTCTCGTCTCTCACCCACTTTCTTATTCTGCCTCTTTTCTCTCTCTCCCCCTCAGTCCAGCTTTTCCAGGCGTGACATTGAAAACCAATGTGTTTTAAAGGCTTTTTCAGCCGCTGCACAGAAACACAGTTTGTTGCAGATCTGGATGAAGCTGTGACGAATCTATCACTTTCTGTAAGATTGCTAGAAACGGCCCCTGCAGAGGTCTGTGCTCTGTGAGAGAGTTTCCAGTTTGTTAACTTTCTGTTTTTGATTCCTGGAATATCTCACAGTTCACAAACAACCTGAAGACGACTGTTCCTTCTCCATCGGTTTTCATTGATCTTCTAGTTTAATCTACAATAATTATTGCAAATAACATGAAACATTGAACGTGAACCTTCTTACCTTCAGTCTAATGTTCATTATTAATGAAATACTTTTTCTTTTTTACACCTCCGGCTCAGGGAACAGAGAACGTGCTCTTGATGTTCATGATTCTGCTGCAGATCCAAAGAAAAACCTGGATCCAGTGAATTTAAATGTGGTTTCATAAGGTTTGAGTTCTACTGAGGGACATTGTGATGAAAGTAGAAAACTGAGACACGTCCACGATCACCATGTTTGTGTGTTTGCAGCCCCTCCTGATCGCAGAGAACATGTGGCCCCGCGGTTGCGTCCTGGACTGCCAGAGGGGGCGCCACAGAGCCGTGTGCGGCAGTAACGGCAGGTTGTATAAATCGATGTGCGCCTTCCAGAGGGCGCAGTGCATCAACACACATCTGCGTCTGGCTCCACGTGCACACTGCTCAGGTAACACACGTGCACAGCTGCTGGTTTATTTATTCTTCATTCTGTAGAATCGACGACGTGACAACGTCTGGGATTAATAAAGATTTCAGCTCAATAAAAAAAAGCAAGTAAACATCATGCTTTTACTTTGAAGACAAATTGCTAAAAGGAGGGAAATAATCAATTTAATCACATGGCACAAAACTCAGCTCCGCACATCTGTGGGTCTGTAACAGTTCCACATCCAGATGTTTGAACACTTGACACTTCACTCGAGGGACGATAAGAAGAAATAATAACGAGTTCAGCTCGTCTGCTTTCAGATCTGACTCAGTCTAAATGTCAGCTGGCTCGGGCTCAGGCGCTGGAGGCCAACACCCGCAGCAGCAGCAGCAGCAGCAGCAGCAGCAGCAGCAGCAGCAGTCATGTCGGTCATGTCGGTCATGTCGGTGCTGCAGCTGCCATGTTTGTTCCAGAGTGTCATCCAGACGGTCACTTCCTGCCAGTGCAGTGTCACAACCAGACCGGATACTGTTGGTGCTCCACAACAGACGGAAAACCTCTGAGCGGGACGTCCGTGCTCCACCTGATCCCCAGCTGCTCCGGTCAGACTCATTTTATCTTTTACTCAGAGTTTTGTATTAAAGGAAAAACGTGTTTGAGTCTGTGGAACTTTACTGGAACAATGAACAGCTTTGTTTGGATGATGATGTCGAACACGTCACTGACTGTAGGAGTTGAGTTCAGATCACAGTCTGGAAATAAAGACATGAAAGCTCCTAAAAGTGAAGCCAAAGAGTTTCTCTCGCCCCCTGGTGGCTGGCTGCAGTAGAGCTCATGCACCTCTGTAGCTCTAATCATTAGAAACGAACTGATTTTCTGTCGTGTTGTCAGAGCGAAGCTCCTCAGCTCAGAGGAACCCGGCAGAAAGAGCTGGAATAAAACTTTGATGAGGTTTAAACTTCGGTTCTTTTCTGTTTCAATGTCGTGAACAGATCATTTCATCAAGACGGATCCAGTTCAAGGTGAGAACGATTTTCAGTTCCTGTTTTACACGACTCATATGTATTCTGTACGTTCTCTGCCTGTTTCTGGCCTGAGGCTGTTTCTCTCCCTGCACCTGAAGGAACATTAACATTCACAGACGACTTCATGTGCCAACACACACACACACACACACACACACACACACACACAC